AAAAATGCCACAATGAATTATCCTTTCACAGGAGATCACCCTTTGATACACAGAGATGAAACAAAAACTGTTAAACTAAAGTATGCTATAATTGATGTAGATTTACATACACCCTCTTAGAATGCATCCTTCCTACTTTACACTCAGTCTAATTCATATTTGATTATGCATAGTCTTCAGATATGCATCTCTTGCATAAAATGCCTGTGTACAATATTTATAAGCATTTACTCTGAGCTAGCACAGTGCTAAAGACTGGGGATACAGTATTGAGCAAAACAGAAGTAATTTGATTTGTTTGCAAATGAACTTTTCCACTGAAGGAGTCTTGAGGAGGGTGTGTGAGGCACTGAATTAAATAAAACATACCCTTTCCCCAAGTAATCTAGCCTAAATTGGGCAACATTTATTGTGATATAATTCAAATACCATACAATTCACTCATTTTAAAATGTGCAATTCAGTGGTTCTTAGTATATGCACATGTTTGTGGAACCATTACCACATTCAATTTTAGAACTTTGTTTTTTATCATTACCTCTATTAGTCACCACCCTTCCCCATTTGCACTCAACTTCTGTAGCCCTAGGTAACCACTGATGTATACTTTCTGTCACTGTAGATTTGCTTATTCCAGATATTTCATATAAATAGATCATACTAATAGGTGGCCTTTTGTGTATGGCTTCTTTCACTTAATGTTTTCGAGGTATATGCACATTGCAGCATATGTCTGTATTTCATTTCTTTTTATGGCTGAATAATACCCCATTGTATGGATAATACCACATTTTATTTATCCATTCATCTGTTCATGGGTTGTTTCCACTTTTTGGCTATTATGAATATACCGCTATGGTACTATAACCATTTGACACATATAATATAGAATGAATTATCTCTTGTTTGGGCTTCAGTACATTAAATAAACTTTTCCATTTGCATTAACATTTTTATTTGCATAAGTAAAATTTGCTTTTGTTGTGTGTAATTGTGCGAATGTGTGTGTGTTTTCTGAGTTCTTAACACATGCCTGAATTCTTGTAACCCCACCACAGACAGGATATAGAACAAGTCCTCCCCCACCCATAACTTCTAGCAAATGCTGATCTGTTTTCCGTTTCTACATTTTTATCTTTTTCAGACTAACATAAATGGAATCATACAGTATATAACCTTTGCTAACGGCCTTTTTTTTTCACTCAACATAATGCCCTTGAGATTTGTCCCAAGTTATTCTGTGTAGTAATAGATTATTCCTTTCTATCACTAAGTAGTATTTCATTGTGTATATGTACCACAGTTTATTCATTAATCCATTGAAGATTCTTTCCAGTTTATTTTGCTTTTCTCTGGTTTCTTAAAATAGAAGCTTAAATTATTGATGTAAGATATTTCTTCATTTCTTTTTTTTTTTTTTTTAAGATTTTTATTGTGGAATTGGGGGATGGGAACAGCGCTGGGGAATTGGGGGAAGGGGAACAGACAAGTTGCTGTCCTTTTGTTCTTCAGTTTAGTTGTGGAGGACGTTGCTTCAATGCCCATGTTGGTATTGTGATCATTGCGCTCTTCCCAGGTGAGGCAGATCGGTTGCCGGCTTCTGGACGGCCGCTCACGGTGGCTCTTGGCAGCTCATGCTGACTGCCACAACATTCATGGTAGCTCATAGCAGCCCACTGCAGCAGGGGCCGCAGCCTACGCCATCGCCGGTGACACATGGCAGCCCAGCTCCAGGTCGAGCCGTTGTTCACCATCTTAGCTGTAGAGGGCAGTGTCACTGGCCCTCATGTGGAATCCGAACCAGGGCCCTGCTGCTCAGAGCTGGTGTCCCAAGCCAGCTCTTAACCAACGTGCCACTCGGCCGGCTCTAATGAGTGCTATCTTTTTTTTTTTTGAAACATGAAACATTTTTTTTAAATTAGTTTCAGCTGTACAACACAGTGCAATAGTTATACTTTTTACCCCTCAAAGTGACAACTCTCCTCCCCCATTGCACCTCCTAATGAGTGCTATCTTGATGAATTCTCATTGTACACTTGAGAAGAATCTGCTGTTTTTGAGTGGAGTTCGATAAATGTTAATTAGATCAAATTTGTTGTTACTGTGTTGTCCAAGTCTAATACATATATCATTGCTAACTTTTTGTGTGTTTGTTCCATTGATTATTGAGAGGAGTGTTGCCAAACATAATTGTGGATTTGTCCATTTTCCTATCAATTTTTGCTTCATGTACTTTTAGGAAAGTGTTCCCTCTGCTTCTATTTTCTAGAACATTGTAGGAATTGGGATTATTTCTTTCTTAAATGTTCGATTGAGTTCACCACTGAAACAATCTGGGCCTGATACTACTTTTTTTGGAAGGATTTAATTGATTATACATTTTCTTTAATAGATATAGTCCTGTTTAGATTATTTATTTCTTCTTGTGTGAATTTTGGTAGGTTGTGTCTTTCAAGAAATTGGTTCATTTCACCATCTGTCATCAAATTTGTGGGCATAATGTTATTCATGAAGTTGTGAAGTTCATTAAAATTTATCACCCTTTTAATGTCCATGGATCAGTATTGCTGGCTCCTCTTTCTCTCTTTTTTGTTTTAGATTTTTTATTGGGGAATTGGGGGATGGGAATGGCACTGGGGAATTGGGGGAAGGGGAACAGACAAGTTGCTGTCCTTTTTGTTCTTCAGTCTAGTTGTGGAGGAAGTACGTTGCTTCACTGGCCCAAGTTGGCACCATCATTGCGCTCTTCCCCGGCGAGGCAGATCAGTCACCGGCTTCTGGACGGCCGCTCACAGCGGCTGCTGGCCGCTCACGCTGGCTGCTGGCCACACATGGTAGCCAGCAACCCACTGCAGCAGGGGCTGCAGTCTATGCCATCACCTGCGACTCACAGGAGCCCAGCTCCAGGTTGAGCTGTTGTTCAGCATCTTAGCTGTGGAGGGCAGTGTCACTGGCCCTCATATGTGGGATCCAAACCAGG